CTTGCGAAGCATGGCTATTAGCGGCTTAGCGGCTATTAGCGGCTTAGCGGCTATTAACGGCTTAGCGGCTTTAAGAAAAAGGAAACAAACTCGCAAGAACTCGCAAGACGTTTCATCTTGTGAAGCAAGCCCATAGGGAAATTCGTCTTGCGGAACGACTCAAAAAACGCAAAACCCTTTCGTCTAGCGAATTTTTCGTCTTGCGAGGCATTCGTCTTGCGGGGCACCACTGTAATTGTTACACATCCAACCTTTGCTGGAGGGAATGCAATTTGCCTGGCTCTCTGCTACATATGTGGTGGTTTTGCCCAAAACGTATTCTCAAATGATGGAACAATCGCTACAACCAGACCCCAAATTAGCCCTACTATCTTATTTTACTCCTCAGTTTAAGAACATAACCGACAAACACCTCATCCTCCACTTATTAACTGCAGCTAGATTAGTGACTGCGAATAATAGGAAAACTTTAAATGCAAATCTTTTGGAAGCCTGGATTTCACAAGTGTGGGACAACGTGCTTATGGACAAATTAATTATTTTACAAAAGGAATATCAATCAGGCGGTGTGGAGAAAGACACACCTTCTGTACGACATGATATCCTTTTATTGATTCATGGAACCTCATGGAAAGACACTTTCATTTGATTGCTTTTCTTGGAGCTTCTAAAACTACGACCATCAGCCCCTATTTTTCTTTCTTTTCTATACAACTACTAAGCTCTGTTTTCCTTGTATGGATATGTTTTGTTTCCTGAAATAAAAAATCAAATTTTTAAAAAGTTCCACAGATATTTTATCCATGCCCTGTCTTGATACCACAATCCCACAGGAATTCCTTGCATGTGCCCTAACTATTTTTTTGCATATAGATCAGGAGTCCTTTAAATGGAAAGACTGAGGCCTTTGCATGCATGAAATGTGTGAAGGACGTCCATCACATGGTCAAATGTTAATTTGTAAACTTCCTTCATTCAATTGGTCACCCTTTTCCATTGTATGTGGAAGAAATGAATTCTCTCAACACAGCAACTCTTAAACAACAAATAAATGAAATGGGGGAAAGAAGAATTATGATGACTTTTCTGTTTTGCAGGGGGATCAAGGAGACATCGGCCCAAGAGTAAGCACTGTTCCTAACTATGAACATTTTTAAAGCTTATGTTAGAGCCTGGCTTTGATAAGCACAGACAGATGTACTTGCATGTGAAGACGAAACAAGGTGAAAAAGGAAAAATTGTGTGTGCAGCTGCACTTTATCATATTCATCCCACTCCACTTACATTTCTCTATCTCCTCTTTTGTTCTTCCTCCATCACTTTTTTTTTATTGTCAGCTTACAAAGATCTCTAATGATGTCTATAATGAAAACAAATTAATTGGAAGAAGAGGATGACTATGATAACTCAGGAGGAAATTTGGTGCCTTAAATTCTTGGCATGTATTAGAAAATCGAAGCCCAAATTTAAGATGATTCTCGGCTGAATGAGATATTTTTTTAAAAAGGCAGAGAAAGAGCATAGGGCAATGAGGAAATTGATAGTGAACTTGTTTCATCTTTCCTTTTCTTGGTCCTCATCCATATGGAAGACTGACTCATTAAACTATAAAAGTTAGAATTTAATAAACCTTTCTTAACGTCATACAAGCTAGCATATGGGCATCCTTCCTCTGACTCATTTTCTTTCTACTTAATTTTAATGGAGTGGGACTGAGTTCAGCTGTAATATATACATGTCCACAACAGGATTTCCACCTCCAGTGAACTGAAAAGATGCATATATATTTTTGTTTGTTTCTAGGCAAAGCATTGTTCTATTTCCCACCCCCACTCCTCAGGGATTTGCAATCAACTTTATTAAGTGTCTTCTTGTGCATTTGTATGAGGTAGAGACAAAAACAAACAAAACAAAAAGCCTGAAATGAATGAAGTGTTCTGGAAATTAGTTCAAAGAATATTGTTTTTAAACTTGAGAGTGGTGAAATTGAGCAGGCATAAACTGATAAATAGGACCAGGAGCTTTTTCACAGCAGCTTAGATTTCACAGCAAGTAAAATAATGAATGCTGGTATGGGAAATTATAAAATGGACAGGCCAAACTTAGCCAACATATGGGTTAACCTTCACCTAAAGGCTCCATTTAGATTCTAAGGATCTCTGCATCTGTTTTAAAATAAGTTTCTAGCCTCCATGAACAAAGACATTTGGTTGAAAATGTGGTAGCAAAAACCAAAGCAAGTTGAAAAAGCAGTCCAAATTCTTTTTTTCTAATGTCACAGTTTTTCTATTTAAGGATTGCAGTTTTGGAATAGTAATAGTCACAGTTATTTATCCATAGTAGGGATGTTTTCGTGGGAGAGGTGAAAAATAGGCAAAAGAACTGTTTAAAATTTCCCCCCAAGCTTTTATCATTATTAAATGGCAATTCTTTATTGCTGGAACTCCGCTGCTTATGCTTTTAAAAGGTTTGCTATCATTAATAAAATCAATAAACGTAATCCATACTCAAATACAGCACAAGCCGGAATCTGGAAATGAAACTAAGCACGAGTCCCTCCAGGTGACAAAGGCTACACAGAATGTCAAACATATAATATGCATATAGGTATGATATTGCATTTATTCCATTCAGAGAACATTGATCCCATTTCATAGCTGAAGAACACGGAGGCACAAGAAGACATGCCTGGTTCAATTTTGGCTTGTGAATTCAAGGCACAGAATCCTGCTGCTGTTATGCCCAAAGTGGCTGCCATGGGGAACAGCCTTTGCAGCTACTAGGGAATGGAGAAGCCTGGTGTTTGGCTTCAGCATGCGCACGCATGCTGTGCCAATGCTACAGATTGATTCTGTATCATCTCCTGTGAGGGCAGCCATATAGCTGAGTAATCCAGGAATATGCTAGACATTAGATCAGCCTTTGCCATCCTGATACCCTCCTCATATGCCATCAAATCAGTACAGTGTAGGTGAAAAAAACCCGTCAGCAAGGCCAGTGAATCAATGAGCGCTGAAAAAACACTGATGAGATTCTAGAACCTTCTAACTTTATAATTCAGAATGTTATGGAAGCCCTTGATCATAGGAAGTACAGTATACCCTATGTGTAATCTTTTTAAGCTAATATAACTACTTTGAAAAAAATGAGGAATTCCTTTTTCAAATTACACAATACTCACTGTGATACAAACTACTGTGAAATATATTCTGTAGGGGAAATGTTTCCTGTACGTTATCAGAAGTAGGACAGCACACTTTATATTATGATATTGCTCTGTTTCACGTGGCAAATTATATCTGGATGCACCTCATAAAGTAGGATTTAGAGGCTTTCATCCTCAAACTATCTATGTAGGAAATCTTGTGCTACTTTATGAACAAAACCATATCAGTATAAGTTCCTGAGACAAGATTATACCTGAAAGAGTAGTAAGGAAAAGGTGTGTGGTGACTGGTGATGCCTGATATCTGTTCCTGGAAGAGAGTTGTCACCATTAAATATAAACCATTGAATGGAGACCATTCAGAAATATGTTACGTTTTAAAAAGATGGAAAACGTTGCAAGCAGTCCCCAGATGTTATCAATTACGCATGAAAGCAGTCTGCATTTAGAAGCATTCATGTTATGAAATATGTTCATGCCCCAGTTTCTCAAATGCGTTGTATCCCTTGGGGAAACTGAGCTCCAGTCGCTCAGCAGGATCATCAAGTAATCAGATTATGGTACTAACTGTTTGTGATTTTCTCTTTCTCTCTCTCTCTCTCTCACACACACACACACACACGTACAAATGTTAATGATTCTGGATGTTTAGGACATTTATTTGGCTCCTCAGTCCTTCTGTTTTCTCTTCCAATTCCTGGGACCTTTCCTGTGACACCACCTGGCCTCAATTATCTTTACTTCCTTAACTTGAGCAATATCTTTTCTTTAGCCTCAGTGATAGACTTTATTTCCTAAAGTTGTTTCCTGGTTTATATGGGAGGATACGTTATTTCAGATTACATGTTCTGTGGTGGCAGTAAAGAAAAAACAATCAGCAGCTGCTAATGCCTCTGAGAGAAGGAGTTGTCTTAAGAGGGGGTTTTTTAGAGACAGGGTAATAATTTAATTAAAATGGAAATTGCATAATTTTCTTTGAGCGCATCCTGTTCTGAAACTATGCATTAAGCTTGAGTAGTACTAGCTTAATGCATCTATTCTGTTTGACAGCATCTTTCTCATGGAAAAACATGGTGCCAGTATTCTTTTCCCAGTTCAAAATTACAGTTATTTTTAAAGAATTAGCTCAGACTTTCCCAAAATGTATTTCTTTTAATTTAACTGAAACTGAAACAATTTGTTTCATCAATCATGCATTTTGCATGATCTGCTTGCATACAATTCCCCAAGCATTTTCAGTTGCTTTCAAAGCAAAACAAAAGAAATTCAGGCTCATAAGTTTTCAAGAAGACAGTGGTGAAGGATTACAGTATGCTTTTTAAATTTATTTTTAAATTATTATTATTTTTAATCTCCATTTTTACCACCCTGAAGGAATCATTCAAAGTGCCTTAACAAGCAAGCAAAACACACACCAAAAAAAAAATCATGTCTTAATTAAAATGCATGAGCAACCCAAACAGACTTAAGAACATCAAAAACAGAAAAGTCAAAAGGCTAGAACTAGGGTTGCCATATATCCATAATTTCCCTGGACATATCTGGAATACTGCAGTCGGCAGCAGTGTCTGGGCATAAATCAGAAAAAAATGTCCAGGGAAATCTGGGTGTATGGCAACCCGTGTCAGCGGTGCCGTTTTTGCTGATTTTGCATAAAAATAGCTCAAAAACGGCAAATTCTTTTTGGCTATTTTGCCAAAAAAGTTCAACTCTGGGCAAAAAACATCCTATCTTTGTAGTCCAGTTTCCTTGTTTTCACAGTGGTCAACCAGATGCTCCTGGGAAGCCCACGAGCAGGACATGAAAGCAGCAACTCTCCACTGTTTTTGTATCTCAGAACAGTGCTCCGCAGGCTTCAGGTTCCTTTTGCTGAAGCCGGGAGAGCAAGACTGTCCTGGCTTCAGCGGAAAAAACCTGAAGCCTGCGGAGCACAGCGGGAACTCGTGCTGCGCTCCGGAGGCTTTGCATTGCTTTTGCTGAAGCCTGGAGAGTGAGAGGGGTTGGTGCGCACCGACCCCTCTCACTCTCCAGGCTTCAGCAAAAGCAACGCAAAGCCTCCGGAGCATGGAGGGAGCGCTCCCTCTGCACTTCGGAGGCTTCACGTTGCTATCGCTGAAACCAAAGAGCCTGCATTCGCTCCATAGGACGCACACACATTTCCCCTTAATTTTTGGAGGGGAAAAAGTGCGTCCTATAGAGCGAAAAATGCGGTACGTGTCTTCTGCTGAAATTTGATAGGACTTTTTAATGAGACTGAATTTCTGGTTGAAGCATACAGCATTTTCAACAAATGGAGAGGAGTGTTGCTGTATTGTTTTGCAAAACTCGGTCAAGTGCCACAGTTTGTACTGTTGCTGACTAGCTTTTACTGAATTTTATAAATATGCCTGCACACAGAAAGAAGCAAGGAGCTGATAATAAATCTACTACATGTAACAGTTCTTCACATTTACTGCAGTATACTTAATAAAAGTAAAAAGAAATGGAGAAACTGTATAGAATGGGTATTTTAAAAAACTAGCAATGCTACCATTGTTATCTATGTACTAAATCAAATCAAAATGAATGTACAAGACATTTACTAGGAAACAAGATAAACAGTGTATGCAAAAATACATTCGGGGGGAACCGTGAAGTATTTGCAACCCATAGCTATGTATTTCCAAAAAGTCAGTGATATATTGGGCATTGACTAGGATTGAAATTCCTTCTCCCAGTTCTCTAGAGGAGCCTTCCCCAACCTGGTGCCCTCCAGACATTTCTGGAGTACATCATCCCTGATCTTTGACCATGCTGGCCGATGCTGATAAGGATAGGAGCCCACAGCATCTGAAGAACACAAAGTTGAGGAAAGCTGCCCTAGAATAAAGCAGTTGCTGCCCTATGTTGTTTTAGTGTTGTTCAGAACAAGAACCAAGGTTCTGCTATGCTGTCGAGAGTCCTCTCTGTTGTCAAAGTAGTTAGAAATAGGATGTGGAAAGAAAGTGGGTTCTACTCTCATTAAGTCATGCAACCGTTTTACTTAAAATCATGACCATTTGTTTCCAAGAGTGTTGCAGATTGTCTTTGCTCAGCCTTGGGCAACATGAGTTGTTTTCTACAAAAACAACTTAATTTTTTTCAAATTTCTTTTCCAAGAGGTGCTTCTTATTTGGTGTTGCTAGCAGTTATACCAAAACAAATGTGTAGATCTCGCATGTTGATCTGTCCTTCAGCTAAGATTTTAATCGTTCGTGTACTCAACTAAAACAATTTACATGCAGTTCAATGAGACTTGCCTCAGGACAGAGGATGAGGATATGAAAATGTTACATCTGTGTTGCAGATGGTACATGCAACTTACGACTTTGCAGACAACCCTCAACTAGACTCATGGAAGCACTGGTAGTTCTTCCATGGTAGTAGACAGTTCCCTCCCCCCCACCCCCCATTGTTGCTGTTCTTTTATCGAACAGGGGAGCAGTGCTTCTGGTATCCAGTTCTGTAATCTGGTCCACATTCCACGTCTAACTTAATTACATTTTAGGACTAAATTGCTTGACTCCAGGGTATTTATATGCTGTTGGCGGGGGGGACAACATTTGATACATGTAATGATACTATATGAATTAGATTCTTTTAAATCCCATTTGATTTTTCTTTCTTTTATGAGGAAGATGAGCTTTACAGAAAGCACCCATAACCATATACAGAAATTATCTCCTTTCTAGTACATCAAGCAGATGAATTGAGTTTACTTGGCTGTCAGGCATTAGCCTTATCCAAACGGGTTGACTGGCAAAGCAGTCAGGCTCATGCTTTTCTATATTTAAACCACTTGTAAGTATGTACAGTAACTCAAGTTACACTTTATTTTAGGGCTTAACATACTTGGATAGAAATGAGATTTACTGTGGCTGACAGGTTGGCATACAGCCCTGTGAATGGTTTTACAGTTTAGCTCAAATCTCAAATACAAAGATCATGTAGTAGAATCCTAGGAATGCTTACTCTGAAGTAAGTACCACTGTATTCAATGGGGCTTGCTTTCAAGTAAGCTTATTTAGAATTTCAGCTTCATATAGTTAAACAGACACTCGGGTCACTTTCAAAATCCTAATATGAGAGTAGAAAAGTTTGAAAATTGAATATTTTAACATCTCTACTCAAAATGGAAAACATGAACTCCCAAATGGTTATGGTATGCCAGCATTAGAAAGCTGGAATTTGTCTAGATTCTTCCTTAGTGGGTATATATATCAGTTGCCAAGGAACACACATGCCTATAAAATCACCGTTGCTGAAGTGATAGCAATTATTGCCCTTTAAAGAAATGTTGAAAAATATCTTAAACTATGTCCTGTGAAACTGAGGAATTAGTAAGATCCCCACCCACCACCACTGCCGCCATTATTTTGTAGTTCTGAAGTCTGTGATACTGACCTAATGGAAAGCTGTACATTCTGATACCACCTATACAGCTATTGAATAATGTGTTTAAAATCTATTGTTGCTGTTCCATTTATTATTTCACCTTGTGATACCAATTGTTTGTTCCATACTGGGCTCCCTCTCATATATTATGCTGATTGAACCATTTTTCTCTACCATCATAACATTTGTCTTGACCTCTTTGTCTTTCCTGCCACACATTGACTAGATGGCTTTCCCTCGCCTCAGTCATGGATTTCTCTCTGACCAGCCTATTTTTAGCCGACGTATCCTTAAGGTAGAATCGCTTTTAATCTTCTGGCTTGCTGTGTTTTCTTGTGAGGTTGCTTTTTAAAAACTTTTCTAATTTATGATCTGATAATGCCTCCTTCTTTTCCATTCTTTCCTTCTCCTGTTCTGTTCTTTTACAATCTAACAACCACCCCCCTACAGTTTTACATCATAAACAAAATGGAGCAATTGCCATGACAACTAGAATCTGAGGTTTTTTCCCCATTGCAACAGTGCCAAAAATAATAATAGAAACATTCACAGGTAAACATCAACTAATGAGACAATTTAAAGCAGTCATCCCATTAACTATGAACAAATTACTCAGCCTCATTGTGTTGACAGGATTTCACATTTGCTTTCATGAAAGCAGATCTAACATTCTTTGTCATCTACACAATCAAAGCCATGCTGAATGTCATGATGACTAGTAGGCTTTCCCAAAGATAAATACTTTTCCCCTGGCCAGAATTGCATTCTCTCAATTACAATATTGAGCCAGTCTCCCTGAAAACCTGAATAGGTTAATAGAATATTGTACAGTGTTTCTGTTCTCAGAAGCAGCAGAGCCCTCTTCAGGCATTAACATATTATTGCCTGAAAAGGGAACACTGAATAGAGTTGGGATGCACACTTTTAGCCCATCCCCCAGAGCCATGTGACTTTCAGACCATAGAATTGTTTACAGCGGACATCTGCATCTGGGTGCCTTATGCATTTAAAGGCTCCTTGTGCAAGTGGGAACCTTGATCATCTTGCTTGGGTAGGTAGCCTTTACACAAGGCTCCCAAAGTATGCCATAAACACACAAAGGGCCAGAGCTGTCACATAGCTCCAGGAGCGAGACAAAACACACGTCCCTGAAGCCCTGCTAGTGTTTCCCTCTAACGAGAAGCTGCCATCTATCAGGGGCGAGGCTAAACAAGAACCCTTTTCCCTGACATCTAGTTTTCTATGTGCAAGGAGTTTTTCTGTAGATGGTCATTCCATCAGATGAGTCACCACTGGTCTTCAACTGGTGGGTTGCAACAGGAGCACTACCACCATGCAAATATATGATAAAAGATTAAGAAATGGGTCCCCAGATGCCAGATTGGGTTAAAAGTAGGTCCTGGATCTAAAAAAGTAATCCTTGTATTCTGTGTTGAAAACTTTCAATAAAAATTCAGACAAAATAAATGAATAAATAGGTTGAAGATACCCGAGTTCAGAGTGACCTATCTAGGTTCACTACTATATGTACTGAGTTCCACACACAGTACAGAATACATAAGTGATATGGTCCCTGCACACAAGATTATCAGCCTACAAAATGTACACAAATTAAGCATTTGCTTAAAAACGGCAAATTTGTCAAGGACCATGCTTTCTGATTTATTGGATGCAGAGCATTTGAAGACTGACTCTGATTTTGAAATGTTGTACTTTCAGGATTATAGCTGGAGGATGCCTGCATATTTTGTGAATAAAAATATGTTGGTGTATAAAAGAAATGATAATAAATAATAATATACTGAGAAATTTTATAGGTCCATTTGTTTTTATCTTGTACTCATATCGTTGCTCAGTGAGGGAAATTTCTGAACTGGACCTTGGTAGTATGGCTTTCTGAACTGGAATGTAGAATGGCTTTCACTGTTAGGTTTTTGATTTATAGCAGGATGACTTTAAGTACAAGTCTGTCACTGGAGACATCCTGCCCAGATGTTATAAAGAGCTTTATATTCCACCCTTATCATGGGGGGTTTCAGTGCTGCTTCCATATGTTCAAGCAGACCAGTTCTAGATGTGGAGCTCTTCACCCCAACTTACCCACAGTAGATCATAACCCCAGGAACAGTAAAGTTAATAGGCAGCCATGGTCATCTAAATGATAGATCTTGGAGACCTGGTGTCAATTCTCTGCTTTAGCCAGAAGCAAGAAACCATTCTCTTGGCTTTAGTAAAAATGAAATAAGTGTGGCCTGCCTCAGAAAGAGCGTCTGTATGCCCTGTACATGAAACAAAGGTTAAGTGTAGAATTCATGATCAGAGATGAAATATCTGGCTATGCTTTGTTGCAAGTCCTTTTGGAAAACTAGCTTAACATATAAAAAGCTGCTTGTCGTTTAAGGATAAAAGTCTTCTTATTTGAAAACAGGAAATAAAATCCTCTGCTGCTCACACAGTTGCATAATTCTGTAGATTGTGACCAGATTACTAGTGCACTTATTACATAATTGGTGTACTTATTAT